CATCTTCTTGGGGGGCCGAAATGCACGTAAAACGTCTCCCGTCCTTTTTTGATTGTTAGTAAATTTATCAATAAAAATCTTGAACAAACTGTTCAAACTCTTCTAAAAAGTCATGATTTTTATAAATTTACTTATGCGCTCATAAAAAAAATGTGTTTTTTCTTAACTACTGTTTCCTCGTACATTGAGATAAGTCCAGAGAGTGATAAAGTTAATTTCGTCAACTGTTGTCTTTTAAAGAAGACTCATGGTTCCACAGACTACGCATGCCTTTTTCTTTTCATATCGAATATAATTGTTGTTGCTCTTTTCAAGGAACTATTGCCTTTAGTCAATTACTTTTTGGTTAAATAAAAGCATCAAATTTTGATAGCATTTGATATCAATATTTTCCAAGTAAATCATCAGTTTGAGAAGAAAGTTAGGAGATTTACAAAACTTTCACTTTGATCTGCTTATCTATAGATGACTGAATCAATTTGTTTGATCTGCCTCCTCTATTTCTTTTTTTCATAGATCTTTTAAAGTTCTACAAAAGATATCTTTTTCTCTATTGCATTCATGTTATCAATTTTGAGTGAATAATTTTATCTTATATTTTTGAGAAAAATTCTTTTTCATAACATCAGTATGTGTTTCACCTCTGCAAATGTTTTATAGGAGACTTATCATTTTAATGGAATAATATTCATTTATCTAGCATCTTCTATTGGATTTTAAAAAGAACAGTAAGATAATTTTAATTAAAGCTGCAAAAATCGTCGAAAAATATATCCAACCAAGTAAGATATGAGACAACAAAATTTCAAAACAGGAAACTTTTCAAACATAAGATTGTCAATATGAATACTTTTGGAAATATAAAGAATGTTACAAAATTAAAGTCATAATCATCTAATATAATGAATATTATTCCATTGAAACGATAAATATTGTATTAAATCTATTCAGATAAAAACACATAAAGCTGTTATGAAAAAAATTCTTCTCAATGAAATGTAAGATGAAATTAGTTATTGGAGATTAGTACGATAGGAAAATAACATTGGACTAAATTGATGCATTCTACAAAATGATATATTTCAATCAATGAACAGTTTATAAATTCATTGTCTTCTTAGATTAACTTGTCATATATGTTTATCTACATCAAAATGGTAATGAGACATGCTTGTAAGGTTTCTTATATCAAACTATCAGCTGTAACTGAGAGTTTCTACATTGAAAAAACTGATTTTGGATGAGGCCAGAAAGAAGAGATTCACCCACATCCCACAAAAAAGCTTGTCAAACTCGTGAGAATGTGCGTAGGACACATCTGAAATTCATTTTTCTTTGACATCCGTGCGGCAGATGCAAGAACAAAACTAAATGGTAATTAACAGCAGGTAATTTCTTTATACAGTTATAAATGACTTAGTAGTCTAGTGACCATTGATATTTCGTATCTTATATGTATATACACGTTAATTTTCGTTTTGTATAAATTAACTTTATCCATGAAATAGTCTCGAAGGTTTATATATACAAAATAAAAAGAACAACAATGCTCTAATAAAGGGATATGCAATTGATATTCGTTATCAATCAATGTCCATCTTCATTTATTAATAAGAGATAAATTAGATTTTAAAAAATAACTATGAACATATATGAGGATTATGAAAATTCTGCAGTCCTACGTCTTTTCTACTCGTGCTTAGTTTGAGTAGAGATCTAGTTTAAATATGTTACTGTTATTGAACAATGAAATGTTGTAATAAGTTTTAACTTTTAAAATATTAATATATAAGGATAAATTTGAAATAATATAATTATTTATTGTAAGAATATTCAAAAATAGAATATATTTCAAGTTGTTTATTTTCGATCAGTTATATGTGAGAAAGGAAATAGAACAAGATGATAAAGGGAAGAGGAGTTAAAATAGCGTTTGGTGTCAAAATGTAACTGGAAAAAAATTGATTATTAATAATAAAAAATATCTTTTGGTCAAATATTAATGTTATTGTTTTCATGTAGGAGTAATTTTTGTATACATTCTATTGTACAACTAATAAAGAATATTAGTATAATTTAATATCAAACACAGAAGATCTTTTCATCTGATTTAACTTACGAAACAAAATTTTAAAAGTTTTGCTTTATTCATGTTGAAAACTTCTTATGATTCTTTCACAAAACCAGTCTAAGTACAAGGAAATAAAGAAATATTAGCAGTTTCATTTTATTATAATCATACAAAAAGTGTATAAAGAATGAGTATTTGAACTTTGCAGATCATGCAATTGTTTCTTATAAAGTTGATCATATTCATCTTCGCCATTAATAGTAAGAAATATTAATTTCGGAAGATCGTTGATAAGTAAATGTGACACTTCAACGACTTGCAAATGAGGAAGTCGCTCGACAATTAAATAGGCAATATTTACCAAATCTGGTTGTCACAAAACAGGAAAAAGATTGAGTTATCGTAAGCCATTTGACATGAGCATTCTGCACAAAGAAATATTATCGAATAGATAGATTAAATTTTCCTCTTTCAAATAACATTTACTATCATATTCTGTTCTATAATACAGTTCCAGAGTACGTAGATTAGTTGTTTGCAAAAAGACAAAGATGAGTTGAATTGAATGGTTGCGTATAATACTAAGTGATTTTATTTGATGCCAACAACGATAGATGGTGATAAAGAAAGAAATTCATCGTTGATGTGATCATAATAGTAACTGATAACAATCCTATCGTAACGAAACAACTTCTTATTGAAGGTATGACCTTTTTATGATCATCGACTTCTTCTAAATTAAACAAAAAAGGTCTATTTATACCCATGCACAGTTTTATGTAGATAAGAATAGACACAAAAATATTCATCGCTTCTTGATACTGTTACAGCTCTAATAGGGTGTATATGTCGGTGTTCAACAAAAAAAAGGCACTCATACCCACACCCAGCTCTTCTACTCACAACTATCGTTGGTGCTGCAGCTGTGGATGACTTATTTGGCTTACTTGTCGTAGACGGCGATGTGCCACTAGCATATGGTTTAAGATTTTTCTTGTCCATTTTAATGATAATGAGGATGATAGTGATGGCCTTCTGATTCTTTTTCAATTTGCGTAAATGAATGGAAACATGGATATTTGTTGCATCCTTTATGAATCAGAAAAACAAAAACATTTCGTCTCTATCTTGGATGTGAGTGAAAGAAATACCAACACACAGGCCTAGATGCAGATTCACACCCACACCCACACCCTGAGCTAGGTGCTTAAAATTACAGCAAAAAATTTAACATACGTTGTTACTAAACTTTTTGCCACTACTATAGTCCCTTAAATTCTTCGGTTTTTTTGTCCTCGTCTGCAAACTCGTTTTAGAAAAGTCTCGGTCCCCATCGACAGACTTTTAAAACAAAGACGAGATTTACTGTAAAATGCAAATAAAATTAGAAAATTCAGAAACGTGAACGATATACTTTCGAAAATTTCAGAAAGTTTTTGTTTAGGTAAATAAAAAAAAAGAAGAGTCGAGTTTTCGATGAAAAACAACCGCTATTACGAACCTACATTTTCACGATTCATCTTGGTTCCGCTCATCTCTATGTCTCATACCCTATTCACGTGCAGACTTTATCATTCACGAACATTTGTGATACCAGCAACGTGAAGCCGTGCATTTGATCTAATAAAAGCTATCAAGAGTAATTAAAGTGATTGATATAACAAAATAATATTTGTTCTCAATTACCGAAATGCAACAGGTCATCTTCGAGTATTCTTTTCTCTTCTCACATATTATCGAATCGATTTGAGATCTTGCAGAGTGACCCAATCATGATTTCAAAATGATTTTTTTGTTCGAGCTCTAATACCATCTATTATTACTAGACGTTTTTTTACACTTTCCTATTTTCACAAGCAGTGCTTCAATGGATATTGCTTGTTTTCCTCATTTTCCTTCTTTTTCTTTGAAAAATTCCTTTGGAAATTCTATCTTTCTTGTACCATGTCGCGGCGACCCCTGTTTTTATTTAATTTTATCAAAACTTTTGAAAAATCCTAAGTGCATGAGAAACAATAATATCATGATAATAGTGGATCATCTGGAGATTGGGCTTGCGAAGTGTCTTTTTCACAGTGGTACTTTAACAACGATTGATAATATTCATTTGGATTAACATTATCCGTTTCTTTAAAAACACTTGTTCGTGTATGATAACGAAGTAGAGGTACAGGTTCTTCATCGTTCTTCTTATTTTCATAATCAGTTGATTCGGAATAATCATAACAGAGATGTCCATCGCGGCGCTGCCGCTGCCGCGCCGCTGCCGCGATGGCCTGTGGCGGCAGCGGCAGCGGCAGGTTTTTTAAAAAATCACCGCGGCAGCGGCGCGGTAGCGGTAGATTTTTTAAAAATCATCGCGGCAGCGGCGCGGTAGCGGCAGGTTTTTTAAAAGACCATCGCGGCAGCGGCAGGATTTTTTTGGGGAACATTGAAAAACTGCATGAATTTAATAGAATTTCAGGGTTTACAAATGAAACACCCCGAGACTGAATGAATCTGATGGACTAGTACCAATATCTCTGGTCAAATATAGTCGCAGCAGTGAAATTAGAAACACTTTTTTGTAAACCGACGCGGCAGCGGCGCGGCGGCGGCACGTTTATTTGATAATTCATCGCGGCAGCGGCGCGGCAACGTTTTTTTTATAAGCCATCGCGGCGCGGTAGCGCCGCGGCAACATTTTTTTATAGACCGTCGCGGCGCGGCTGCGGTGCGGCAGCTTTTTTTTTCTAAGGTCGCGGCGCGGCAGCGGCAGATTTTCAGCCGCGATGGACATCTCTGAATCATAATGAGTTTTTCTACTATCATTTATACGTTGACGTTTTAATCCTAATCGACGAACTAATGATGATAATGATTGAAGACTATTGTTTGTTAAACAATTCAACATCAGTACGTGTACAATCACGATTAATATGCATTTCACCACAAAACAATTCGTGTTCCAATGCGTTTCCACCATCATATTCATCAGGACTTGAATATGTTCTAAAAAATGATAATTCTGGTGTAGTTTTTTGCTTTTCACCAATATATTTAACTGCATGAGTAATTTCATGTGATAAAAGAATAGCCAAAAATAAAGTGCATAATTCACGAGAAATACGACTACCACGAACTGAAACAAACAAAACGAAACATATTCAGTTTTCTAAATCTTTTAATGGTCGAAATGAAAGTTGATTCATTATAATGTACTATTCTAATTAATCAATGAATAAGATCAAAACAAAAATTTTTTTAAATTCTGATTTTTTTCTACAGTGGGTCAAGAAATTATTGGAACACTTGCATCTAATCATAAAGGCGGACTGTTTGCCAGCGAATGCAAGGTCTGATTTTCATTCTGATTTCACCAGAATGTAGCCATATATTCTGCCTAAAACAGTACAAATATCACGGTCAGGATCCAAAAACTTCAAGCGTGAGACCATGATTTCTGGAGAACTTGTGTTTTTCAAAGCAAAAAATTACTGGAACACCTGCATGTATTGAGTTCCAGTTTCTCTCCAATGACACGAATATGCTTCTATAATATACCATTGGAAAGAGAAAATTCTCCTCTTCATGATGAGGTACTTTTGATAAAAAATTGAACTTGAAAATAAGTCGAAAATTTAAAAATAGCAAAGAGTCTCTGGGTTTTTAGAAAACTTATGTTTTGAAAATTTTAACTACATCAATTTTCTACTTCAAATACACCATTCGAAAGAGCATCAAAAACTGAGTCTATAGATGTGTTTCATGATCCTGGATAGAACTCAAATATAAGGAAAAAAGGTAGTTTTTTTTTGAGATCACTGACGAATTACGTTTTGAATTTTACCAATGCTAAGAGACATGTAAAATTTTTCTGTAAGTGCAGTTTTGTAGAGAATGTTTTCTTTTCTATAGTAAAAATAAAAAAATAACATCATCATTCAAGTATATGCTGAGTGTCTTGGCGAATACGGAAGTTTATCGAACGAAAAAAGTTATTGATGACTGCATGATTATATTGGATTTTTTCCTGCAAGTGCAGATATCAAGAGCAAGAGAACTTCTATTACTGTTGTCTTCTTTTTCTTTCATATATGTATACATATATTTCAGTGAGTAAAATCAATATGTAGGCGGAATATGTACACAGATGGATACTAAAAAAAAGGCAAGATTAGTTTTTTTTTTCTTTCTTTTTGCTTGATTGCATCTCATCAAGATCATTTTCTCATTATGTGTCTCCCTGTTTTGTAACAAATTGCCAAGAGATGGAAAAAACATATTCTTCGAACTTTAGCTTGAAAAAGAAAAATTTTGCAACTCGATTACTTGGTTGTTCGTCGATGATACATTGATGATGATGCGACCGATCTGGTTACATCTCTAAATAAACACAATCGATAGGTTTCATATTTCAATCAGTTTATGCTACTACTCGAAAACGAAAACGTTTGTGGAGTTGAACCTGAAACGAAGTTCATATGTTGCAATGTCTACTAATTGATTAAGATGAACTGAAAAAAAAAACATTTGACGATTATCCAGATATCAACAACTAAAGTCATATGATAGACAATCCATCTATTTTGATTAATATCTGAAGGGAATAATGTGTCAACGTGGTATCGTCAACGAAAATTTCTATTGAGTCGAAGAACAGTAGGCAATATGGAGTATCGATGTATGAAATGTACTATCATTTTTGTATGCAGAGTGATCGCTGTTCTACAGAAAAAATTTTCATATATTATTGAAGCGTTAAAGTGCTGGAAGTTGTCCTAGAGAATAATGTCATTCAGATGGTTAAGTATATATCGCGTGTCGGTGTGGGTGTTTGTGAAAAGAAGATTCATATACGCACTCACACCCACATCCTTCATACAGTGAAGGAGGTAATGGATTTGTAGGAAATATTTTTTCAGATGAGATTCTTATATTTGTAATCAAAACCAATCATATTTCTTAAGCTCTTTACCTTCCTTACACAATAAATAGCAAGAGTAATAACAAATTTATTGCAGTCCCAGCAATAAAGTGGATATATAACTCATCAAACAAGGATGTATTGATTGGTGCGATCAGCACTTAGTTTGTTGCTAGGACTCTCATAAGTTTCCTATTCCTACTATTCATAGCATAACAGAGTCTATCTATGATCAGGATATACACGTAGAAGACAACGAAAACAACTTTTCAACATAAATATTATGAAAATTATGAAGATCACAAATTGTTCTATTGAATCATGTATTATAACGAAAATTTCAATTTAGAATAGGTGCGCAGCACTTTGCAAAATGAATAGATGGATATTTTTGAAAGAATGAAAAACGACATGCTCTAAGAGACCAATTGGTGGATCCGAAATTTTTTATTAGTATGCTAAAGCTTATTGGCTGTTACCTGACGAAAACTAGATGGTTATAAGATAAAAGTATCTACTAATTGAATAATTTTGACATCTACTGCATATATAGTGATAGACCAAACACTGCTGTACAATTCTCAAATATTTCATCATTCTTCAATTGATGTGACAATATAAGATTTCCGATTAAAGCTGAACAATCAAATATTCAAGCGAGAGTTATTCATAACAAATCATATTTTATTTTCAGCTAGTGTGGATGTTCGTCTTCTCTTCAGTCCCCCCCCCCCCCCCCCACCAACACCCTAGGCATCTCTCTATGTAAATTGCCACTTAAAAATTTGTAAATCAGTTTTTCTCGTGCTCCTGAGGGGGAAGCACGACATTACGTTATAAAAGATAACGCAAAAGTTTAATATCTCCCCAACAATAAGCTAAGAATCCAAACTTTTTCCAGAATATTCATAGTCCATTAGAATCTAAATGATACACATACTCTCGATTCAAAAGCGATCAATCAGTTTTTGGGCTTCCGAAGTGAGTTAAATACTGCATACGTTTACTAAAAATATTGCATAAAAAAAGTCAATTTTTTTTCAAGTTGAAAATATCATATCGAACCAAATTTTGAGAATTATTCTATCTTCTTAGGTTCTTCAAAATATTTCTTACCCTAGGACAAATTTAAGCCAACAATACTTTCCAAACAATAACAAGGAAAACATCATCCACTATCATGTTATTACTGATTACTTAAAAATATCCTTAAAAAACACAAGATAAACATACAAACATATTATATATAATCTCCTATATATTCCATCAATCAGCAACTAACAAAAAAAATAGAAATTCTATGTAATTGGAACGTGGGATGTGAAAAATTCTTTATCAGAGACTTTTTTTGCACATTTGCTTATTGATATTTTATCTTCATCAATATCCAATAACAACTTGTTAAAGAACCATTTGCATTTGCAGTATGAGAAAAGAAAAAAAAATTTTTTTTCTCATTTTATATTTATCGTTATAAGTTATGTCTACACAAGGTGTTTCAACATATTCTGTCTGCTTTTTTTCATTCTTCACCAGAATACAAGACGAGACAGGAGAAAAGTAAAAAAAAGATCTTGTCACACTGTAATAAATCAAATGTCGGTGAGTAGACATATAATAAGAAATAATAATTCGAAAAAAAAACTATTGTATATTTTTATAGAAAAATCAAGGAAACTTATCTAATCGTCAAATGAAAGGTAATCAATGAATTGTATTGTCAAAGATTAATAAAATTTATTTATTTGTTTTTTTTGGAATTGATAGACTTACGTGATGCATTTGATCTATTTGATCGAGATAGAAGTGGAACTATATCATTATCAGAATTAAAGCAAGTATTAGTTGCTTTAAATTTCAATCCCACAGATAGTTTAGTCCGAAAAGTAATGAAAGAAATGGATATAGATGGAAATGGTTCAGGTAAATTTAATATTCGATTGTTTTAATTTATTGAAAATTTTCTTTCAAGTTGAATTTGATGAATTTGTTAAAGTTATGAAAAATGTTTACGAACGAAAATTTACCGATGATGAAATGCGACGAGCATTTAAATGTTTTGATATGGATAATTCAGGTAAAAAAATTTTGAAATACAAATATTTATTTTTTAACGATGTATTTTTTTTTGCTTTGCATTTCATAGGTTATATTACTGCAACTGAATTACATGAAGTTTTAAGACGATTAAATCGTGATGTTAGTGAACGTCGGATTAATGAAGTTTTAGGTGAAGTTGATACGGATCATGATGGTAAAATAAGTTATGAAGAATTTGTACGTATCATACAACAAACATAGAAGGAATCTTTTGGGTTTTTATTTTCTTGTCGATTACAATTTTGTTTTCTGTGTTGTAAATATATCTCTTACTCATTTTAAATAAATGTCAAAGAAGTAAAAATAATTTTGGCTTATGCTAGCACAAATTACATATGATTGATAATAAGTCGGTCACGGTATTCAAATATAAAGAATTATGACATAAAAAATAATATATTTTTTTTTCATAATAGAATTTGAATACTTTAATCAATCTTGGGAGAAATTTTTTGTCATATTCTTCATATTAATAGAAATCTTTTTAGTTTATCTATCAAGAGATATTCAAAATGATCATACTTTTATATTTTATGAAGAATGTATTTATATTTTTTAGAATACTTCGGGATAAATCTTTTGCTTATGCAAATCATAAACTTCGAATAAAAAAAGAAATACTCGAGATGTCAAATCCACTTTACATTAAAACAACATTGCATTAAACATCTTAACTTTTTTTAACAAAATATTTGCTCAAGTAGTTGACTAAATACTATTTCGGGGAAAGAGTCAAGGTTTTGATAAAGAAAATTTTGAGAAGCTTATCTATAACACGGATCATCGAGTACGCAAAAAGATCATAAATACTATTATTTAAAGACAAAATATTGGAGCTTTTTACAATTCTTCAAAAAGTTCGTTAAATAATGGACTACGCTATTTTCAAGCTTTCACGTGCATTATGAATATTGTAAATTACATAAGCAATTGTCAAGACAAATGGTTAACAGACAGTCAAGAAAAAAAACTATCTATTATAAGCATTAATTGCGTTGGATATTTGCAGCAAATAAATTGATCACGATAAGAGAATTTTTAAGTTGTAAGAATAATGGCTTGGTGAATTATATGCTAAGCATCCTTTTTTTTTTTTAATGCGTAATTTTCAAGTCACTATGACAAAGTCTTTTTTTTTCTAAATTGATTCATATGTTACTAATAGAAAAAAAATGTCATGCTTATGTTGCCTATAATTATACTTGAATGCTCATTTTCTAATGAAAATATATGTCAAACCTTCGAAGACGAAGCCAAAATGCAATAAAAAAAAATAGGTTTTTTCAATATGGGTTGTTATCTGGCATAGATATCATTACTAACAACTTGGAATTGTCAACAAATGATATTTGATGCAAAAATAGTGAGCTACATGTTGATTTTTTTAGACACATTCCAGAATGACGATAGAGAAAACTTTGAGTTTCGGACGTGCATAATAAATATATACAAAAAAAGGTAACACCCTAGAGACAGAAATGTTCACCAAGTGGAAGAGGAATTGATCCTTCTTATCTTAAAAGTTGCACTAGCAAATAATAAGGTTTGTATTTGTACTAGTATCTCTGTCAAATAATCTATGTGAAGTGTGTGCTTATGTAGACACTTTATTTTTGTTTTTGCTATAATTAGTGTCGAATTTGTGTATTATTCACATATAGCAGTATTAGCGTAAATTGTTTTCAGGAAACATTTATAAAAAATATATGAATAAGAAAACAGAAAGATATTAGAATATATTTCGTATCAAACGAAAATTCTGCAAGCCATGTAGATAAAAATATCTTACAACAATTAACAGCAGATAATTTCTATTATGCTAATAACAACAATAAGTTCGAAATTCTATCATGATTATTAATGTATCTGTTAAGCATAATAATATTGAATTATATGTTTCTAGTCGATTTTAGCAATCAATTATATTTTTGAACATCTTTCAATAACTAGATATTGAAAATTAAGACGTCACAAAGTACTGTTTCTATAGTGTCTGTACAGTAGTTGAATTCTTTTTTTTTTTTGACTTAATCATTTTGCAAGTGATATTTAGGCGATAAATAAAGATACAAAACATTGTTTCATAAAATTCTACAAAAATGAATTTGATCTTGCCATAAATGACATTTCACGGATATCCGTAGGAAAACAAGATGAATACATACTATTGAAAGAGAAAATATTTCAAACAATGTTTAGAACAAGATTGTGTTTTAAATATTAAATATTCGTTTTTGTAAATAAAAATCCATCCCTAAACATTGGTTAGAAAATAGTTCCCGTTTACTCAGACACAGAATACAGCTTATAAAAAGGCTCATTTAAAGTTCACCAAATGACTAATGAACATGTAAAAATAGGATGATTTATTTTATCTTTCGATGTATGACAAAACGTCCTTACTTGAAAAAAAAACCAATGTCTACAAATGCCATCTATCGATTATAATCCTTAGTTATGCATAGGTATACAATAGTAAACTATGGAATACGGAGACGAAATATATGTCAGAGACAACCACAACTAATTTTTATTTCGTATCAACATATCAATTTAACGTGTTCAAGTCTATGTTCGATTCCTTATAAATGTTTTTTACACTTCTTTGAAGTTCATATTGAATAAAATGATTTATCTTTGTTAATTATTCACAAATAGTTAATTAATAAATATTTATTAGAAAAATAAAAATGCCTATACAATTGTCAGATTTACAGAGTAAATAAATACTTAGATCTGTTTGAAAAAGACAACTAATAATAATTTATTAATTTAAGAGATCGGTCTTGGTCTAACAATATTTGGTGTTGGTTTTATTTTTCTTGGTATGATATTTCTATTTGATAAAGGTTTACTAGCTGTTGGAAATGTAAATATTCAATTTATTATCTTGTTTATTTACTTTTTTTTTCTTGTCTTTAAATTAATTAAATTTATTTATTTAGATATTATTTCTTGGTGGTCTTTGTATGATAATTGGTCTTGAACGAACAGTTCGTTTTTTCTTCCAAAGTTTTAAAATAAAGGCTACTGCTTTATTCTTTGGTGGAATTCTACTTGTTCTAATCGGTTGGCCATTAACTGGTATAATTATTGAATTTTATGGATTTTTTCTTTTGTTCGGGTTCGTTTGATTAGTTTTGTTGTTCTAATATAAAAACAAAAAAAAACAAAAGATTTAATTTTTCTAGTGGCTTTCTTCCAATAGTTATCAACTTTCTTCGACGTTTACCAATTATAGGTTCAATTTTATTATTACCTGGTCTTCGACAAGTTAATATTTATCTTTTATATTCTATAAAAATATAATAATTTTCTATTATTTTAGATTACGGATAAATTATCTGAGAGTCGATCAATGGTATAGATGTTTTGATAAACATACTCATACATTATCAGTGATATTTTATTCTTTGGTTTTTTTTTTTTTGTTTTCTAACATTTTACTATCCAAAAACAAAACAGCTTAAAAATATTAAATCTCATGTTTGTTAAGTACTTCATGTATCTCCATTTATTTAATTTTTGATAAAAAAGAAAACATTCAATTAAAATAGGTGGAAATTTTTTTTTCTTGTTTTCAGATGATTATATATTATAGATAACCTATTTGGATTATTAATGAATATGTAGAGAAAGATCAATATGTTGGTTCAAAATTTATTTGAATATGGTGTAAGACCAACATTAAGAACTAGTAAGCAGATTTTGTATTGTTTAAAATAAAAATAAATTTGATTTTTATACTTTACTTGAAATTTCATTTAAATATGTTCTTTTTTTTTAATTTAAAGAAATATAAAATATTTATTTGTTTGTATATGACTATTAATCTTAGAGTACTTGATCTGTCTTAAAGCTCGGAAAAGTTTAGATGATATGTTCTGCTATCACTATGAACGAAAACAAGTTGTTATCACTAGTTTTCTTTTTATTCTGCGTTAGATATTATCGTTAAATTACTAATTTTATGTTTCTTTGTAGCTCGTCAAATCTCTACAATTATTGATTCAAAACGTACCTATACCATAGTCACCAATGCTATACGATATAATGTCCTTCGCACGATTTCTTCATTGTAACTTTCTAAACTATAAAATAAATATGATTAAGTTTCTTGTTTTGTTTTTTTTTCATAGTCCGATAACATTTTATCAATATAATTTATTAAACCAACGAAAGATCGATGGATTATTAATACGAAAACAGTCTGGATCAACTCCATCATCGAATAATAATAGTCAATCGGTAATATCTGAGAAAATTGTTTCAATTAAAGCACCAGTTTCTACCGTATTGAAAGGTATGAATTTAAAAATAGAATATTAATCATAAAATTGATTTATTTTAGTTCGAACACGAAAATCAAAAGTAACTGATTATACTGCAAGTTATACTGAAAATAATTTTCTTACAGCTGTACGAGCTATGAATGAATATTTATTAAAACCATCGTAAGATTAGTTTTTCGATCTTTTGAATATTGTATGTATATAAATATATTTTTTTTTATTCAGTGATTTGGAAACACTTAAACAATACAAAACACGTTCACCTTATTCAGATGTTGTTGAGTCTGCTGAAATGTTAACAGTCTATCGACGAGGTGATGTTGAAAAACGGTAAGATGAAATCAATAAATTTTAGAATATTTTGATTTTGTTTTAAAGAGCTTATGAAGTATGGGGTAGTCCAGAAATGTTAAATAAAGCAAAAGCTAAACGAACCAAAGCACGACAACAAGAATATGAAGGTAAATAAATTTTTTTGGGTATTAACTTTTTTTTATACATTTAGTTGTGTTTGTCAGCTATATTTAGTTTAAAAAAATCATTAAAAGAATATCAAAAACGTTTATCAATGCTTGAAAATACTTCATTTGATAATCAAAAATCAGTATGTTGATTTTTCTTTTTTTTTTGAAGAAATAAAAAACAATAAATGAATTACTTATTTTTTTTTTTTTAGGCTACAAATTCTATACTTGCAACTGGTGGTGGAAAAGTAGTTGTTGCTGCAGTTCTTATGTAAGATTTTCGAATATTAGAAATATAGAAGATTTATTCAATAGTAAAATATCGAATTGATTTCGATGGAAATAAAAATAGTTTTTATCGTTGAATTAAAAAATAACGAAAAGATTTAGCTAATTTTTAATGTATGTTTTTATTTTCTATTTGAAAATTTTAGTAATGCAACAAATGCTGTAATAAAAACAATTGGATGGTTATTTACAGGTTCAGCATCGTTATTTTCCGAAGCTGTACATTCGATTGCTGATACATGTAATCAACTTATTTTAACATTTGGTTTATATCAATCAATTAAAAAACCAAATCCAGAACATCCGTAATTTTTTATTTATATGAAAGGTTATATTAAATTAATAAAAAAAAATCTAATATTTAGCTATGGATATTCTAATATGACTTATATTTCATCGCTAATAAGTGGCGTTGGTATATTTTGTTTTGGTACAGGTTTAGCATGGTATCATGGTGTTTTAGTTTTATTACATCCTCAAGAAATGGAATCTGTTTTTTGGGTATTTAAATTTGATGATTAAGCCCCTCCCTGCCTCAAAAAAGACGTCTAATTATCTCAGAATTATGAAAATTAATTGTACGTAATAGAATTTTCAAAGGAGTTTCATTGTAATCAATTCATTTTTTTTCTTTTGTTTGAAAGAGCATGTAAAGGTGTTGTGCTCGTTTTTTTTGAATTAACTATTTTTATTATTATAGACGAATATAATTTTAAAAATAGTAGATGAGCACTTCTGGAATTAGTTATTGCACTTGTTATGCTTTTTTCTCTGCATCAAAAGTGTGAATTTAGAAAAGAGAACTTTGTGAAACACTGCAGGCTAAAGCCTATCAGATCCGAAATTTTCGAACTTGACTAAGTCCAGAAGTAATTTCATGAATTTTACTTCCGACTGAGATGTTTTTTTCTTTTTAAATAAAAAACTTTAAATATACAGAATGAGAACCCACAGAGATTTTCGTGGTTGCCATATCAGCTGTACTTTTTACAATTGTTTGTTGTGTATCTCGCGAAAATATCATACTGTAGGCCTGAAAAATACAGCACCATCTATTTACTACAGTCCCAATATATGATAAAAATTTCATACGGTTTGAATGTATTTGACCCAAGACCGATTGTTGACGATGGAGAGGGGCTTAATATAATATGATTAATATTCTGTTTGTTTTTAAAGGGTTTAGCTTTACTGAGTGGTGCATTAATCTCTGAAAGCGGTTTGTTTATTTGACTTTGCTTAGATTCAATATGTTTTTTATCTGATTTCAGCAACACTTTATATGGCTGTCACTGAAATTCGGGCATCAGCTAAAGAGTCAGGATTACGATTCTGGGAATATGGTATATAGATAAAATTGTGTTTCATATATTGATTAATTGTTCTTATTATAATAGTCAGTCAAGGTTATAAACCAAATGTAAATGTCGTTCTACTTGAAGATCTAGCAGCAGTTTTAGGCGTTTGTGTAGCTGCATCAGCAATGAGTCTTTCACTTTATCTTCAATCACCTATTCCAGATGCTATTGGATCATTGATTATTGGCGCTATTTTAGGTGGTGTTGCTTCATTTATTATTTATTCAAATACAGTTGCACTTGTTGGCCGGTAAATTATATTAAAAGATGGTGTTTTTTTTTTTGCGATAAGAATCATTTTCTTTTTTTTTTTGAAAGATCGATTCATCCAAATCAAATTGAAGCAATAAATAGTGATTTAGAAAATGATCGAATGGTTCGTGCTCTATATGATATTAAAGCAACTGATATGGGTTCACAATCAGTAATGTTTAAAGCTGAAGTTGATATTGATGGACGAGAAATAACTCGATCCTATTTGGAAAAAGTTGATATTCAAGTTATTCTTGAAGTTAGCAAAAATCAAAATGAATAAAACAAAAAAAATAATTATTCTATTTTTTTTCCCTTATTAGGAAATGAAAAAAGTTGATTCAATTGAATTAGCTGAAGCATTTCTTCTAAAACATGGTGAAAATATTGTTGACAGAGTTGGAGCTGAAATTGATCGTATTGAACGAAATCTTCGAGTAAGATAATAAATTATTTATTTAGATAAAACTTTTCTTTTTTTTGTTTTAGAAAAAACATCCTTATCTACGACATGTTGATTTAGAAGTCCTTTAAAATCAATGTATTCATATATGAAAAATTTTTTATCTTAGGTTTATTTTTCACTATATGTGTGCCTGCATTTATCCAGTTTTTTTTTGTAAATATATTCTACATTCGCTTGAAATATATGAGTTTAGTAGTAAATAGAATTGAACTATTCATTGAAAAAAAACAAATGATACTCGGAAAAACTTCATAAATACTATTTCTTTTTTCTAATCTTTAAACACAAGAATTAAATTTTAATATTCGTTGTTTTAATTGTAATTGCTGATATCAATTGTTTTATTTGTATAGTATCTAAAATAGGTTTCTTTAAAATATCGAATTGAAACAAAAAATAAAAATAAAAATAGATCAATGATTTCATAGAAATTCCTTTTCAATCAGAAATACATTCAATATTTCTCCTAAAATATTACACATACAACGTTCTTTTAGTTAAAGATTTCTGAAGATTCAGCTTAGTCCTTATCAACAATTAGATATATGCCTAAAATAAATTTCTTTCATAGTACTCATGTGATCATAATTTTGGCTTTTCTTTTATTTGAAAGATTCTATCCACTTAACAATCTTAAGATCATGCAACCAAAGTAATAGACGATTAATCGCAATATACTTTTCTTTTATTATTGCTTGCATTCGGATTAACAATTGATCAACAATCGAAAATAAGAGTTTAACTTACAACGTTGAATCATCTTCATTGATTACTCACCAAATAATAATTAAATATTAAATTCTTTCCACATTCATATCAATATGATGATTTACTATAAAAAGCATATGACATCATTCACTTGCTGAATATGACTAATTTTATAACAATAAATAATAATTATGATTCATCAAAATTTAATCGGAAGAAAAAAAAAAAAGCTAAATTTAAATTTTTGTTCTAAAAATTCAAATATTTATTGATATTTTCAGTTACATAAAATGAAAAGATTAGATTCAATTTTTTATAAATGAAAGTGATAAGTTATCATTAGAATATGACTCAAATTCAGTCTAAAATTCTTCCTATCTATAGTAACTATATCATTCAATCGAAATTCATAATATTATAATTGATATTTAGTGTTATGTTAAGAATTAAACGTAAAATAGTTAAAACTTTGTGAAGATAAAAGATATATGTATATTGATAGTATTTATTTGTATGTATACAAAAAAAGATTTTATTGGCTTGTTTTTTTTTATCAATTTATTCTAGACATGTTCAAATAAATAATAAAAAAGCTTTTATCATTTCATAAATTTTTCTTTTCATATAATATTAATAACAAACGATTTTTATTAGTGTTTAAAATGATCTAATAAATATTTATTTGAACGTTAAATCAATAGAACTTTATCAACCGAACAAATATCTTATAAATCTCTATTCGATATTAATAACGTTCATTAACTTTCAATTGCAATTAGTTTTTATTTTTGCGTTTTTTCATATATTTGGGTAGTGAAAGGACAAAAACATACACAAAAAAGTAAAAATGTGTCGATTATGTTGAAAAAATACAAGTAGACAAGTTTGAATTAAACATTTGGAGTATTTTCTGTTGCTGATGATCGAGGTTGTAAATAATCTGTATTAGATGCATTCGTTGGGGTAGATCGAATAAGCATCTAAAAATAAAGAAAATTTAATAATATTTTATAAATAAATAAATAAATAAAAAGAAGAAGATAGAAATCCTTACTGGTTCAGCAGATGGATCTACACGTTTTGGTGTAACTCGAACAACTAAAACAGCAAAAAAACTTAAAGAATTATCAAACAAAATTATTTTTACTTTTTTCATCTGGAAAACGTTGTTCAGGCAAAGTTATTTTTGATTTTGATGAACGTTTTTTTGATTTTGACATCAATGAAATAATAGCACCAAGAATAATTAAAAGTAATAATGTACCACCAATAGCTATGGCAATCCATACCCATATTGGTAAAAGACGACGGCGACCACGAATTTTAGTACAATGACGAAATTGTGAACTTGTTAATTCAGCACTTCCTTAAAAAAAAAATAGACGAGCATAAACATATCTGAAGTTTTTTATTCAATAATTCTATTATTATAAACAAACCAGGTAATGTAAATTCACATGCAAGTCTTAAATATCTTCGATTACAATCAACTTCACGTAAACAAATATCATTTGAACCATTCGATATTGTTTCTAGACATGTTGAATTAGGATATTGTGTATTTGTACAATAAAGTGGCCATTTATCATCTTGTCCATCATTACATCGTTGTAATGTATGATAATCATATGGAAGACGAACAGCAAAATTTTGTTCACTATATTCTTGATAGAATGCTCGTAATATTTCAGTTTTTTCAGGTGTATTTAATACTAATTGTCTTACACCTAGAGTTGGTTGCATATTGGGTTGCTCAGGATTTGATGCTGCTTGTTGCTGTAAGATACTACCTAGATGTCGTGAACATATACTATCAGCATTTTGCCATGAATAGATTTTGCCATCAATTGAAAAATATAAACATTCATCACGTAATTGATAAAATCGTTCTGGACAACGACCACGAGGAAATTGTGCATCAAATGCTGATTTTGAACTTCGACCAGCTGTATAGGATACTATACAGAAAAAAAAAAGATTAAAAATTTTTTCTTTTTTTTGTTTTTCATGTATAATAATGAATTATTATAAATACCTGCAGGTAATTCTTTAGCATCATCTTTTATACCAGTAATTGATATTAATAATGAAAGAAAAACAAGCAAGATCAAATTAGTATACATCATCATTGAAAATGAATGTAAAAAGAAATCGTTATGTTTGGTTTAAAAAATGGTAAATATTACAGTTTCGTTCTTTTTATATTTTCTTTTTTCTTGTTCTTTACTACTTAATGATTATACACGTAGTAACCGCATTCTTCTATTTATGTCTTGTCAACATACCTGGTAAAATTGCATTTTATTTCTCTCTTTTTTTTTCTGTCACAGAATATATAAAACTCAATTCGTCAGCCTACATTAGAGATGAATAATCGTTAACGAAAAAAGAACTGAGCTGATAAAAAAAAAACAGCAAAAAAAAATTACTTATAATCATAAAGAAAACGAATGATGATAATCATTTGCATTTAAGAGTACGAGAATAAATACCTTATTTATACAAATTATAGGATGGATTTTTTTGTCAGTTTTATTAAGATTAATCATAAAGAAAAAAAAACTATGATTCACAAAAAGAAAAAAAAACAATTCATATAAAGACAAATGAATCAGTTAATTTCTTTTTATTGTCGTATTTGATTTTCACTTTCAAGTAACCAGTCAGATTCATGTGTATTGGTTATGTCATCAATATATATCGTTGATGAAGCTAAAACCAATGATCATAAAAATATATATTAATAAATCAAATGAATCATTTCATACGTATAAATATTTCAAAATGATGTTGTTTATCACTTGTATCTTCCAGAGCTGATAATAGTTTACTAATTAATTCATCACACTAGAATATGAACAAAAAAAAAATAAATGTACTATTCTAATCTCGAAGATTTCTATTTAATTATAATTGAAACTAAAATATAAAACTCATAATTGTAATAATGTCCTGCAAATATCCAACAGAACCGATTGAATTATGATTGAATAATTTCTTTTATACTTGAGACATCCACACTTCATATGATTTAAGTAATTGAAGACATGAAAATAACGATGAGTTATCAAAAAGATCAACATGTATTACCATGAAGGGAAGAAAGAAAACAGTACACGTTTTCATTCAAAATAGAAATTTGAAAATTGTATTGTGACTGTGACAGTATTTATCAAATATCGGTTATCTCCGGCTGGGTACAATTATCCGGGTCTGAGTATAGGACGACTTGATTCGATTCAGGCTTGGGTATTATAATGCAATTTCTATGGGATTAACATGCGACACACTATTTAGTTGCTCTTGCTAATCAAAAGAAGATTGATTTATTTTTGGACACATTTATTCGCCATCAATTTACTTAATCCTTCAGAAATGACATAGGGAAGAAGCCCATACATTATCACGAGCCGTTATGGAAATACGATCTGTGATCGAATATCAACAATATCTTGCACTGTATGTGACGGTTTCTCAGGGTATCTGTCATAACCAAGCGGGTTCAAATTTCTACCTTACACACTTCAACACTCGTTTTAGATCATGTTTCACAAAAGTATCGATTCGGGTTCGGTTATGAAACATCGTGCTCGTGTAGGAGACTAAATTTTAATGTTATTAATTGCATTTTGAATATAAACTTCTTTAAAAATGATTTGTTTTAATAATGAAAAATTAATAAGAAGCCTTTTTCCAACAAACCTTTATTGCATCTGATCGTAATATATCATTTTGATCTGTTAATTGTTTTATTCTTGAAACAAGTTGTCGATTATAATTTGTTAAAATATCTCTCTCTTGTATCCTAGCTTGTGATGATTTTGGTCTAACACTCGGTACAATAGGACGTTGTGGTTTTGTACTTGAACGTGGATCTTTTGCTACTTCACGAACTTTTGGTACAAATACTAAACATAATGTGATTGTTACACAAAGTAAGATAAATACAGATGTTAATATATATGAACGTTCATGTTGATCACGTAAAAAATAACCAACAACTGCTGTTGTTATACTTAATAGAACAACATTATAAAGACTCATACCAACATATTTCGAATCATTTAATGCTGCTATATGAACATTTCGTGTTGCCCAAGCAAAACGAGAACCAACAACCTTAAAAAAAAGAATTGAACATTTTCTATCACAAACTTATTCAAATATGCTTCAAAAATAGAATTTTTTTTAGTGTATTGTTTAGAGATATGTTTTCAATGTAATTTAGACTATTAAGTCTATCGGTCCATCATCAGAGATAGTAATCAAGTAATAAATGCTAGTTTCCGTAAAATTTCATTGAAAAAAGGAATATATATCAAGTCAATAATGGCTATTTATCTCGGATCACCCGTCCAATAGCATGCTGCCTGTGTTGTGACATACATATGCTCTTATGGGCCTGCTAGTGTCTATGGGTACCTCAAGAAGTCATCCTCAGACTGACATCTCGTCTAAAACTACAGATAGTTATTGTTGTAGGAAAGATATCGGGCTAGTGAATCTGCCGCTAGGCAAGATCTCAAAAGGCCAAGTAGCTCAAAAACAGAGGTACTCTTCCTTTTCGAATTGTTTGTATGTTTTCATATATTTTTTTAAATTAATTGATTCACTTTTTTCGTTTTCTTTGTTACGACATTGCTTCAATAATATTACATGAATAGATCATTATATATTTTCAAAATCACAGGATGATATATCTTGATTTTTATATATTCAAAACAAAAATTAACTGCATTTTGATTAGATCAATTTTTGTCCACCTAATCACGAACAACCACCGAAAAAACTGAAGTTTTTAAGTGTTTCATAAAATATGAAAACACAAATCATACTTTTGTGCAAGTTTTTTTTTTGCATACACTTGTACCAAAGAGGAACCCAAGTCTTAGAATTTAATACATCAACTTCATTCAGTATGATAAAAGGGTGTGGAAAATAGAGCTCATCGGGTCTAGAATTTTCTGACCCGCATGCAACACAATCAGTTCTAGCGCAAAATGAATTTCACTAGATTTAACAATATTATATTGTATAAGTCATGACGTTTTCTTTCCTTGTGTTTTTTTTAGAAATTGTGTTCTCTTTCATGATAAGCCAAACGTAAATGTCTTATTTACGAGTACAACTTATTAGAATTCTTTTGTATAGTTCTAATTTTCTAGCTCCTGAAGCAAAAAAATTCGAGTATATTCGAAATGTTTTCTTACCATAAGTACACCTTTATATATCGATTGCATTGTAATCCAAATCGATCGACGATTTGATCGACATTCTTCATAAATCCATAGAATAACAATATCTTCATCTTGTGTCTATAAATTTTTAACTAATACAAAAAAGAAATATTCTATATATGGTTTTACCTGTTTTTGACTAATATTTTTAAATATTTTCAATGGATCAACTATTTGCCATGCAGTTAATAAAACTGTATCAATAGCAAAAAGAACTCCAACAAATATAAACAAACGATAATCTTTAACTGCCTTTAAAAATTAAAAAACGAGAAAAAACAAAAATCTTTTATATCAAAATAGTTTCTATTATACTCGTTTTGATGCATTAACATTAGTGAATATTGTATGTACACGCCATGTTTTACTAAATATAGCTCCGAATGATATCGTAAAACCAATAGATAATGTCCATACACGAATCTTTAGAAAAAAAAACCAGTTTTAACTAAAAAACAAATATCAACAGACAGAAAAATACTTACTGCACAAATGAAATTCATAGCTGATTCTGAACTTCTTTTTCCGAGTAATGTTGAATCAATACCCATCAAAAGAACACTAGTATACGAAAGAATACAACCAGCAATAATTAAATTATTTATTTGTGGACTTGACATTCGAATAAATCTTATGAAAAAAAAAAAATTTTTTTTTCAAAACACAAACGAAATAAGTAATTACTTACCGATGTGTACGAAAAATAATATTAAAAACAAAAAAAAATATTGCTAAAAGTATTCCTGTTCCACTGATGATCGCTATTATCGTATATGTTAATATAGAAATTCTTTGATCACGTTCAATACGTTTAATACGATCATTTGGAGGTCCGTGACCTGTTGTTTTTATCCAGAAAAAAAAGAAATAAATTGCAAAATTTTCTTTATATCTTACCTTGCCATGTAATATTTCTTCCATTTTTAGCTGGTAAAAGAATATATGTTGATTCATTTGTTGGTACTGCAACAAATAATTTCACAATGTCAACAATTTTGGATTTGCGACTATGAGATACTAAAATCTATTTTCAATATGTCACAAGTTCAAAGAAAAGCTTATATAGCATATATGATACCTAAAATTTGTTCAATTACAATTTCACCAATACGATCACCATTATTAAAACGTATACGTCCTGTAACACCTTGAATATCAAGATTTTTAATTATATTTAATAATTCAATACGCCAACATGAATGACGCCATACTGTATCAATAGAAAAATTAGTTGAACAATTTTTTTTCAATAAAGATTTTTCTAATTTTTCAAAAGCAACTGTTAATATTAATATTGCATCAAATTTATAACCAACAAAATATGGATTTGATTGATAAGAAGCATTTTTTAAAAGTGTTAAATCAAATTTAAATTGTGCTGCTGTCTAAAATAATTTCGAACAACAGAAAGAAAAAAAAAACAATAATTAATTAAATATTTCAAAGAAAAAAAAAAACTAAATAACAAACTAAATCAGCCATTGTTCGAGCATTCATATTATAACCAAATTCAGCTACACGTGTTTGTAATGTACCATTAAATGCTTGTAAAATTTCTGATGTATTACAAGGACCTGGATTTTTTAACCACCATTCTGATTCATAATAACCAACAATAATCCATTGAAAACGTGAACCATATAAATTATAACGAAATGCCTAAATTAATATTTTTTTGTTAATTAAAATCAATGTTTTTTTTTCTTTTTCTTTAATTAATTTACCTCACAAAATATTCGAATAGCCATAGTTGAATTAAAATTTCCCAGAATAATACGAATATTATTTCTCTAGATAGATAAATAATTTCCATTAGAAATCTAATCATGTATTATATTGGAAAATTGTCTCTATGATATATATACAGACAATAGAAATCATTTATAAATTAG